ATTATAAAATAGAAATAACAAATTTTTGAATAGTTTTAACATATATTTCAGTATTAAAACCTTTTAAAAAAACAATTAGTCTAATTTTATTTAAAAAATAACCTCAAAACATTTTGTTAAAATTGTGTTTACAGTAACTGTAATATAATCAGAATTCAATTTTTTTTCTAATTTATATAATATTTTTTTTTTAATATATCTATTAAAATTATATAAAAATACTTATCTGATAAAAACACTTTTCTCTTTTATCTTACTATTTATTTTTTATATACATAGGGTTATTCAAGATGAGGTTGATAATATGCTTTTGTTATTATAAAATATACAAACACTAAGTCTAACTTTTTAAGATTATAATATATAATAATTGTAGAAATAAATATATTTATATGAGTTGTCTAAACTGTTACAAGTTTTGTTAAACAAAACCAAAGATTTTTAGCATTTTCTTAAATAAAAGTTTAAGCTCTTATCAAGTTAGTTATTAAGAAGTGGTAGATAGCTAACTCATTTTTTAATATAAAAGAGCTAATTTTATGAAAGTATTTTAATATATTATAAATAATCATTTTACTAAACTCTAATTATTTAGTAATAGTATAATCAAATTGTTTATAATTTTTATCATAGATAATAACATTACAGATTTTTAAAGTAAATAACTTTATAGTTTTATAAAATTTTAATTAAAATGAAAATACTAAAAAACTTTATATATTTTTTTATCACATTAATAAATAAAAAAATCATATGATAAATATATCATATGATTATATGATAATCAGTATAATTTTAATAAAAAAATATCTGTATAATTTTAATCAGAACCTATATTTGAGAACTTTTTCAGCAAAAAGAGGGCTCAGCAAAAATTTTGTTTTTGAATTTTTTTTTAATTACATATTAATTAATCTAATCTTTTAGAAAAAAAAATTTTTTTTTATATATAATATATTAAAAAAATATAATATTTTATAAATTATAATTTTTGTATTTTTCTTTTATTCTATTTAATAAATGATATAAATCTGTTAAAGAAAAACTAATGCTTTTAATAAATTTCTTGCAAAATTTTACCCTACTTTGCAAAAAATTGATTTAAAAATCTTTAAAAATAACAGAATAATTATAATTTACTAAATTAATCAATAATATTAAATTGCAATTTTTTTAAAATCACATAATTATTTGAACCTTTCTTTACTGAGAGATTCCCATTTGTAAAGTAATTTATATTTTTTATAATTTTAATAATATACAAATTTTATTAAATTAAATAAAATATAATTTATATTATTAATTAAATTTTAATTGATTTTATAATATTTATATATTAAATTAAGATAAATTTTAAGCTAATTTATAATTAAATTTATTCTTAAATTATTTTATCTAATTAAAATTAATCAATACTGATTATTTTGATCAGTAAATAAATAATTTAATTATAAATAGTAAAAATAACTATATGATTTTTAATTGATTTTAACTAGTAAAAATAAATATATAATATAATAATAAGATTTTTATAATTAAATCAACTAAAGTTTAAATAAATTTCTAAATATTTAATTTTAATTATTATATTATATAAATATTATACATATATTTTACTTAAAAAATATTCTAAAAATAATTTTTTATAAGAAATACAAAAACAAATTTAACCATAAAAAATATTTATAAAATAAATTGTATATTCTAAAAAAAAAATAGTAAATTTTTTATTAATTTAAGAAATAAATATTTTTTCAAATCATTTTTAATTAGATCTATTTTTATTAAATTTATAAAAAATAAGTTTTTAAATTAAAAATATACTATTTTTCTTTTCTTTAAAATTATTAATTAATTTATTACTAAATTAATATAATAAAAAGTAAATAAAAAATAGATATTTTTTAATTTTTATTAAGCTAATTTAAATTAGTCTAATGTAAAAGCTTATAAATTAATTTTTTATTAATAAACTTTTGATTTTAAATTTTATCTTATACATATTTAAATAATTTACAAATGCTCTAAGTCTTATCTAATATTTTATATTAGATAAACTTTTAAATTTTCATTGATATAAAATTATTAAAATACGTAATTTAAAATTTTCAAATACTTTATTCATTATAAATTATATTTAATATAAAATATTTAGATTTAATAATAAATAAACTAAATCTAAAAGATTTTATATAAAAAATTATTTAATCTATTAAAAAAGTAATTAAAAAAATTTAATTAAAAAATATTAGATTATTTTATTTATTATTTAATAATTATAAAATTTATCAAAATAAATACTTATCTAAATCTATTTTAAATTAACTAAACTTTTAATTTTACTAATTATTTAAATAAAGTGTAAAAATTTATACTTTTATAAGTTAGTATAAAAATCTAATAATCATATGAAATTTTCAGTTATCATATTATATTTACCTAATTAAATAAATTGATAATCAAAATCAGAATTTGTATTTATTAATTATAATATAAATTTAATGTTAAACTTCAAACTTATAATAGTTTTTATTTTTAGCTTTATATTAGAATTTAATGTTATACTATAAATTTCTTTAACTCAGATTAATTGTATACTTAAATTACTACTTAAGATTATTATTATTGTGACTAAAATATTAGAATTTGCCTAACTTTTAATTTTACTAAGTTTATATATTAAATTCAACAAATTTATCAAGTATAAAAGTTAAAAATAAAATTACAAATAACTTTAGTTAAAGAATTGATGATAAATTTAATTACAAATTTTATGTAAAGATCACATTTAACTATATAAAATATGAAGAGAAGAAAGTTATAAATTTTAATTGATTCTTTTATTATAATATTAAAATTTAACTGAAGTTGATATACTTGAGTTAATTTACAATAAAAGTAAAAAACCTTTTTATTTATACAAAATTCTTTGTTATAATTAACTAATTGCTATGCTATAAATTAATTAATTTAATAAATAATAAATTAAAAATAATATAAAGAAAAATAATAAAAATTAGAATATTAAAAATAAGTTTTAAATCAAATATTTTAAAATTACATTTAACTTACAAAATTAGAATTATTTATGATATTTATAAATCATCTATATTCTTAGTATTTGCAAAATTTACAAAATTTTGTATTAGAAGATAATTATATTGCATAATTTATATGACTTTAATCAATTACTCAGCTGATAATATAATTTTATCATTTTTATAAGTTCAATATAATTTTACTTTTCTTTTGAATTTTATAAATTTATTAATATAATTTATTAAATTTAAATTATATCTTTTATTATTTAAATAATTTGTTAAACTTTTAGATTTATCTAATAATCTTATTTATTAATATTTTATATTTTAAAAATATTAACTAATCAAAAATTTTAGAAAACATCTTTAATTTGTCATATTTAATAAGCTATAATTTATTTTTAATATTTACTAATTTATTAAAAATATGATTATATTAAATCTATTTAAATATGAAATTTAAATCATATAATATTAATTTATTTTTTTACAATATAAACATGATTTTTTTTAAAATTAGATTAATATTTAAATTAAATATTTTAAAATGTAAATTAACAAATTTATATTGATATTCTTATAATTTTATATTATTATGTTATTATACTAAACATAAATTTTTTAAAAATATTTTTTAAACTAAAAAACAGTAATTATTCTAGTCTAAAGCATAATTCCAGATAAAATTTATAATAAAAATCATAATTTATTAATTTATAATAATTTTTTATTATGATTTTTTAGTATTCAATTTTTGTGAAATATGGGTAACATGACATTAGCAACATAAAATTCTATTAAGTAATCAATATACAGAATAGAATGACATTGCATTTAGTGTTTGATTATCCTTCGCTATACTTCAGTTAATAATAAATACTTAATCATTAATTCTTAATATTAATATTTCAAATTTCTATTTCAAGAATTAATAAAAAAATTTGTAATAAAAACATTTATTATATAAAAAATGATATTATATGAAATTATAATAGAAATCCTTTATATTACATTTTTAATTAAAATATAAATCTAAATATATATATATTTTGATAAATTTTTATTATTAAAATAAGAAAAATTATATTTAATAATATATTAATTCTTATTTGTTTATATAAATTTGTAAATTTATATTTATTTATGCAAACTTATTTACTTTGTATTTTAAGATTTTTCACTTTAATATTTTTATATTTATCATATTTTACAGTCTAAAGTATCAAGATTATATCAGTTTCTTATGTAAAATTACATTTTTTTATATACAGTATTAATTTAGTAATATATCTTATATTGATTAATATGTATATACAAAAAACTAATATACAGTATATATTCAAATATAATTAAAAAACAAAAAATAAATCAAATTTAATTTTATATTAATACTTATTTTATGAATCAAAAAAAGAAATCCAATTGTTACTAATAAGTATGATAAACCTTAGTTCTAGATAATTTTTTTTAAAAAGAATTTATTAATTGTTTCAAATAACCTTGAAAATCAAGTCACGAGATACAGAAATCATATCGATATGGTATTACGAAATGAAGGATGGGATGAAATTACAAAATGAAATAAATAGGAAATCATAAAATTTTTAAATTTAAATTCAAATCGATCTTGAAAATGGAAATAATTAATGTCTGAAAGGAATTAATAAAACAATTGGATGGCTATTACAAGAACTCCACAACAAATATTAATAACGAAAGAGAAATGCAATGAGTTTAAATTTATTTTGTTATTATTTTATGATATACTAATAAATTATAAAGAAAAAATAAATCCAACCCAATTGATTTCTATTATATTATTGCAATTTGATTTAAAATAATTTTTGTATTTTTTTTTTGAAATTAATTAATTATGAATAAGAAATCTATAATAATATTATTTTCTTCCTATAGACAATTATATAAAACTCGCAAAAAAAAATTAATAAAGTTTTAAATCTAAAAAGAGTTTCTTCCATAACCATAACCGTTTCCCCGATTTCCATTGGATTTTCCTCCATAACCATTTCCTCTACCATTTTTATAGTTACCATTAAATCCTCCATTTCTATTTCCTCCATATCCATTTCTGAAATTCCCTCCATTGTTATTACCACCATTTCTTCCCCATCCATTTCTTCCATTATCACTTTTATTTTCTTGCAATTCAGGTAATTCTTTAGGAACTTCCAAAGTAGTAGTATTAGTATTATACCATGGTCTTCCACCCAAACTAATAACTCCATCTTCACTTACACTTAGATGATCAGAAACAATGTCACATACAACACCTTCATTATCTTTTGTTAATTTAAAAGCTCTAACATCATTTTCTGGTATATTAGAAAAATGATTTTTGAAAATACTTTTAACATAACTTCCATGTCTAATAGGATAACTAAACTTAAATAATAAAGTTGTATTTCCTTCAGTAGCGCTCATTAAACTTCTTTTCTTTATCCCACCAGAATATCCACTCATAAAAGCCAATGCTGCACTTAACGCCTCAATTGCTCCTTGCTTTTCAATTAAATCTTTTGCAGTAGAATGAAAATATGGTAAAACACTAGATTCTACAGATTCTAAATTTTTTACTGCATCATTTGCTGTAGCGGCAATGATATCCTGTGGCTGTGGAGGTCCAACCATTTGAAACTGTATTCTTGCACGTTTTTCGATGATTTGTAACAAATATTCTTCCTGCGGTTTAAAGAATGTTACAGCTTTTCCTAGGCGCCCTGCTCTGGCTGTTCTTCCTGCACGGTGTACATAACTTTCAACGTCTTTGGGTGGTTCACAATTGATGACCAAATCTTTATTTGAAGAATAGTTATTTGATGTTCATAATAATAATAAATAATAAATTTACCATTGTTTGTTAACTTACCAACTTGAGGAATATCAATACCTCTAGCCAATACATCAGTACAAATTATGCATTTAAATTTTCCATTCCTAAAACCTTTCAAAGTGGTTTCTCTCTGCGATTGAGCAATATCACCATGCAAGACTTGTGCATCTTGCTTCAGCTTATCATTAAGTGCAAGTTCTATATGTATCAAATAAATTTCATAATTATTAAATTACTTCCGTTATAATTTTAGTTGAAATGTCAAAGAGGCAATATAATTACCGTTTGCATCATTTTTCGTGTTACAAAAAATAACGCACGATCCAGATCCGGCATAACAAGCAACAACATCCCCAATAATGTCTTTTCTGGAAGCCCAAGAAGAACGGATTCCATAATGACAAATATTTTCTAAAAGAAATATATATATATATTTAATATATTTATCGTACTCTGTTTCATTCTATTGAACGTACCGTTAGTTCTTGCGTCAACATTTCCAATTAAGTCCACATTAGCATAATCACTTTTTAAATACTTCTTTACAGTTGTTCTAACCCAGTCAGGAACCGTAGCAGAAAACAAAAGTGTTTGATAATCAACGCCCTTTCCTTGTTCTTCTTTATGACTTTTTACGTGTTGCAAAACAGTTTCCATAGCTTCAGCAAATCCAATATCTAACATTTGATCAGCTTCATCCAAACAAATGAATTTTAAGTCACCCAATTTTAAATTTCCACGATCAATATGATCCAAGACTCGACCTGGTGTTCCCACCAAAACATCAATTCCATCACGTAATCCCTGATTTTGGATATCATAAGATACACCTCCATAGATACAAAGGACTTTCAAAGAGGGAGCGATAGATGCAAATTCTGAAGAAACTTGTTTTGCTAAATCACGAGTTGGTGTCATAATTATCACCCTTGGAGAACGTCCACGAAATTTACTGGAAAAGCTATCCTTCTGGTTTTGAATCAAAAGAATTTCGGTAATTGGCAAACCGAACGCCAAAGTTTTACCTGTTCCTGTCTAAATGGTAATAAATAAATTCAACAGATCAGTCAAAGATACATGTATATGTAAAATATAAATAAATTTTAAAAAGAAAATTTGCTTTGATAAATTACTTTTGCTCTAGCCAAAACATCTTTTCCATCATAAATCAAATCAAAAGTTGCAGCTTGTATAGGAAATAATGCTTCGACCCCACGTTTTTTTAACGAATCAATAGTTGTTTGCGTTAACCTATAAGAACTTAATCTCAAATTTTCAGAAATTTCTTTTCCATTTGATTCCAAAGAATCTTTATCGGAATCTTTTGTTTCAACATCTTGATCGTTATTAATTATGACCGAAGCTAAATCTTTTTCACTTAATTTACGTTTCTTTGATTTTGGCGGCTTCACTGAGGTTTCAAGCTTTCCATCAAAATCTTCTTGTTCATCCTCACCATGTTTTTTACGCTTTGATTTTGTTGGAGAATCAGAATTTTTAGAATTTTTCTTGTGAGAGTCTTCATCATTCTCTTTTCTATCTTTCTTATCTTTAGATTTAGATTGTTTTTTTACCTTAACTACATTGTTACCATCAGATTCATCAAGTTGAGATTCAACCTCTTTATCGTTTAATTTTTTGTTTTTTCTAGATTTTTTTGAATTAATTTCATTAACAATAGCTGAAGCAGGCATTGTTATTTTTTTTTTTTAAAAAAAAAAAAAAAAAAATTTTCGGGATCAATATATATTGTAATGAAAATCAAATTAACCAAACTAAGGAAAAATCTACAAATCTGACAAAAAAATCAAATTTTTTTTTCCGTTAAATATGGCACATCTGGATCTGGCCGATCAAACCACAATTTTCGTTTTACAAATCTGCTTTGAACGGTTTTGTACAGATCTTCGCATTTCAAATCAAATATAATTTTACCACATTTGTTACAACTGTAAAAGTTCAGGTGGGACCGTCCTGGTTACACAAAATTTTAACCCTTGTAATTGTTGATTGACCAATCAAAATCGCGAATTTTGGATAATATAAAAAAAAAAGTTCGCAACTTTTTAAAAAAATCTTATTGATTTATTTAAAAAAAAACCATTTATTATGTATCTTAAAATATTTTTAATACCTTTTATTATGTGTCTTAAATGTAAATATGCAAGAATTATTTATATAAGAGTTGTTATTTATAGTTTTATTGATATTTAAAACAAAATAAAAGCATTTGAGAATAAAATATTCTGTATATATAATGTGTAAAAAAATTGACACGATAGATATAAAAAATTTATTCAATAAAAATAATAAATTTTATAATTCAAAAAATGTTTTTTTTGCGTGTTCTAACAAATTTTCCATTGTTGCTACATCATCCGTTGCTGCTTTAACATTTCTCGAATCATCATCAACTATATTTTCATTGTTCTCATCAATAAATTCATTCTCATTTAATTTTCTTGTCATACTTTCCTTTAATGCATTGATATTTTTTTTAATTTCAACCCGAAGATAGTCTAAACATAACAAACATTTAGACTGACATTTTTGTAGACAATAGCTATAGTAACCATGCCCATATGCAAAAACACTACAATCAATCAAATAATTAGTATAATCACAATATGAATAATCACACAAGATGGCTGTAAGGGGTTTTTTAAAGGTAACAAAGCCTCTCAGAAGGTGACGGTCAGTTATTTTGTAACCTAAAGAAGGCAACTTATACGAGTTAATTCCATCAGATAATGTCTTAATAATTGAAGGATACTGATGTCGTGCTTGGTATATTTTCATAAATACATCTAAAAGTAATATGGAACACTTTTGGGAAAGTGTATGCAGTTGCTTTGGTGTATATGGATATTTTACGGAATTCACGAAATGCTGTCGAAAAGTATTATTCTCTCAATGCTGGAAAATAAAATGAACCTCCTTTTGCAATTGTTGTGCGATAAAGAACTTAGCTGTACGTCATCGAATGATGCTGTGAATGATTTCTATAAGACAATCGCTTAAAAAGGCAAGGCAATTAGTGACTATATTAATCATCGGATTATTCGTCTCCATTCAATAAAATATATTGGAGAAGAACATCAAAGGAGCACGTTTATAATTTTTTCGGTCAAATCAAAGAAAAAGATCGCTCCAACACTGCATACAAGCTTCTTCGTAGGCTGGCCAATTATCTTCTCGATGGTGCTGCATAAACATCAAGGACTAAAGGGATTAAATTGCTCAAAAGATCAGTTAAATATAAAAATTCGATATTCTTGCATGAACGACCAAACTTGAAAAAAACTATGTCATCTATATCAAGCCACGCCATGTGTATTATGTGAAGAATTAAATCAATTTGCTATGGCCGTGGCTTCTTACTAAGATCCTTACGTGTCCTGAATATACCTTTGTAGATATCATTGAACAAATGTGAATTTTTCAAAAAAACAAGCTCTTGAGCATTCAACGATACATGAAGAGAACCCATCATAGGCAAAAAAGCCGTAACAAATGAAGGAATTAATTTGTTATTGAGAAGAAGCCAGTGTGCAATAGTTTTACGAATATAAAACTGACCAGGTCAGTCTGCAACGATGGGAATTGCGTAATCAGAAAGATATGATTGTATTGGCTCTTGATCATGGACGATTTAGAGAGCTTTCGTATAATCTTCCACGCCTTTCAAACTACTCTCAACGAAATCAAAAAGAATAGCATTCTCCACATGCCAACTAGTTTTTCTTTCCATTAACCTATCATTATAACTGTGCAATGTTAATCTGTCTATGAGCTCATCATCAATACATTCTTTACCTATGTAGTCTCGCATACAATCATTATAAGAGATTCCAAGGTTTGCAATAAATCAATTATCAAGATGCTTCATAATCAGCTTATCGTCAATGATTTTTGGATTAAATGTCCCATTACGTGGTATCGCTAACATGAGATAAGGATTCATTACGATTGTTGCCATATGTGCTGCCCAAGATGTACTAGTTGTGTCGGGTTGCCGTTGAACGTGAATATTGTGATAATTATCAATATTCAACACAAAAGCCTGTTCTGAATATTTCGCAATAGTATTTTCTACGTATTTCCCATGCGAATCTGAAATTTCTTTCTTCTTACGATCTACTGATCTTGATGTCGTAGTCGCTCCAAGATTCGCCATTGTACTCAAGCCTTCATTACTTGTACCTACCGAATCTAAATAGAATGCAAGATCAAATTTGAAAGATTTAATTTTTGTATTATTTAAAGAAGCAAGAAGGTAACAAATGAACACCATTAAATTTTTCATACGGCCCATTGTTTGTTCGTTGCATTCGAGTGGCTGAGCTGCTAAATAAAATTAGTCAAAAATATCTTTCAAGCTTGGTTCAATTTCCTGAAGCAATCTCCGCATTTCATCAAATTCATATATAGAACCTTCATTCCTCAAATGTTCTCTTTCATAAAAGATTTTTGCCATCACTTTGATGGCTTTAGTAAGATCAATCTTCGTGCTTATCTCTTCTTTATCTGTGGCATTTTCGTTTACAGCTTCACCTATAACTTCTTCAGTCATAGTTCTTGCTCTCTTAAATCCTCTTTTTAAAGGTTTTTCTACAAAATTCATATAACAAATATTACATAGAACAATACTTTCCGTTTATGTTGCTTTCACTAAGTTATTATTTTCGACTTCTTTCCATTTATTTCCTTTCAACATGCGAAATCTAGTTGACTCGGTTGTTTTACATTCTGTATAAGACTTCTTTTCAGATATGTTTTTATTGGGTCAATTGTATTATAAAAGTTGTTGGATTCAAGTGGATTTAACAGTTATTATTACAATATGATGCAAAAGCTTTAAGTTTGTCTAATTTATTTACCTACGATTCATTGCAAGAATGT